TTGACTGTTTATATCCACTTATATTCAAATTTTCTTCTAAGCAGACAAGATACACTTGTATCTTGATAGTATTGCTAAATACAGTATAGTAGCAAAATATTATTTTCTCTTCCTTATGATTAACATTTCCTTTTCTCTAGCTTACATTAGTGTGAGAATATAGTATATAATACCTGTAACATACAAAATATGTGTTAATCAACTTTATGCTATAGTAGGATTTCTGGTCAATGGTTAACTACTTAGTAGTAAAGTTTGGGGGGAGTCAAAAGTCATACATGGATTTGACTAGGTGGGTGTCAGTGTCCCTATACCCTGTGCTGTTCAAGGGTTGACTGTAGATCAGTAAGGACATATAAAAACTGAAGAACAAAGCTAGCCAACTTCACCTGGTTAACATTTACAAAATAACCCACCAACCAAGTCAGCAATGTATATTCTTCGTAAATGACTCTAGAACATTTAACAACTAAATCATATGTTGGGCCCTAAAACAAGTCTCAATAAATCTGAAAGAACAGAAATCATTTAAGGTACATTCTCTGACCACAATAATTAAATACCAATGACAAAAATAATATCTAGAAAATTTCAAAATATTCATAAATTAAGCAAAAACGGTTCTAACGAATTCAAGGTTCAAAAAGAAATCAAAAAGGAAGTATAGAGTTCAGAGCTTCATATGCCTACAGCTAAAACAAACAGGTCTAAAACAGTCATCTTACCTTCCACTTTACAAGCTACAGAAAAAAGCAAATTAAAAATGAAAGTAAGAAGGAGGAATAGAGAATAAGATAAATGGAAGTCAAAAAGTACAACAGTGAAAATCAATAAACAAAACTAGATTCTTTGAGACCAGTAATATTTGCAAATCTTTACCCAGACAAATCAAGGAAAAAACAAATTACCAAAACCAAAAATGATCGTTTAGATAATAAAAGAATAAGATTAAAATTCTGACCAATTACACAAGAAGAAATGGACAAATCTCTTGAAAAATACAATTTACCAAACTGATTAAGGTAACAATTTTAAATCTGAGTGGCCTTACATATTTTTTAAAAGACAAACTTGCAATTAAAAGCTTTCCCACAAAGAAAACTCAGGCCCAGATTAACTTTACTGATAAAGTGTATTAAATATGGAAGGCAGAAATAATACCTATTTCACACAAACTCAGAAAATAAAGGAAATCTTCCTAATCCTTTATTATGAGGCCAGTATACTTAAAACAAAAATGACTGCAAGAAATGTAAACTAATAATCACTCATAAAAAATTAATAAACTAAATCCCACAACATATAAAAAAGGATAACATATCATGGCTAAGTGTGATTTTTATCTCAGGAACACAAGGTCAGTTCAACATCTGAACATCAAAGTAATTCACTATAAGAAGAGGAGAAAATTCATATGATCATCTTACAGATGCTGAAAAGGCACTTAATGAAATTATACATTCATTCATAGTTAAACAAAAGAGCTCAGTAAACTAGAAAGAAGACTTCAACCCAATAAAGATCATTTATGAAAAATCTACAGATAAATAATTCTTTTTTTTTTTTTTTAAAATTTATTTATTTATACAAGCACTGGGTACAGTCAGAAGCGCTGGAAGGTGAGAGAATTCACCAGAGTCAGAGCAGGGAGCAGAACAGGCAGAAGGACCAAAGCACACTGCTGAGGGGAACAGCGGGTGCCGCAGGAGAGGTCTGTCGTGCCATGTGGGACCCTCGCTGGTGGCCAGAGATCGAACCGACGCTGCAGAGGCTGAGGGCAGCTTTGCAGCCCAGCGCTCAACCGCTGCGCCACCAGAGGAGGCCCTAAAATAATTCTTAATGGTGAAAGATTGAATGCACCCCTTAAGTTTGGGAACAAGGCAATGTCTACTCTCATCAATTACACATGCCATTTACATGAAATTCTCAAGAGACAACACCAATCTATAATAGGGGAGGGGGCAGGAATCAGAACAATTGTGGAGGGAATTGACTGGGAAGAATCGCAAAGAAACTTCGTTACAAATACATTCTATAAATTGATGGACTGTGGGTTACACCAGTTTATACAGTTGTTAATGCTGAACTATATACAAACTTAGGAACTGAGCACATTTCTCTTTAAAATCTTCCTCAATTTTAACAAATAAGTATTTTCACTCAAAAAATATTTAAATTGCCTAGTATAGCCCAGGTATTAAGAAAGCAAAGGTAAGGGCCTCCCTGGTGGTACAAGGGGTTAAGACGCAACCTATGAAGACGCTACCTGCAGTCACTGTAGCTTAAGTCTGAACCCCAGCCAGGGAGCTACTCACATGGCACAGTGACTTGCCTGCTGCTCCCCTCAGCCGTGCATTTCAGTCAGTCTGCCTGTTCTGTTCCCTGCTCTGTCTCCGGTGAATTCTCTCACCCCCCCCAAACCTCTGGCCTGTACCCCAGTTCTTGTATGCATAAATAAATAAATCTTTAAAAAAAAAAAAGAAAGAAATATCATACATGCTGTCAAACCACAACAGAATTAAAACAGAACAAAAAAATTGCTAGAAAATCCCCAAATGCTGGAAGATTTCAAACTAAGACACAGGTCAAAGAAGAACTCTCAAGAGAAATTAAAGGATACAATGAACTAATATAAATAAAAATACAACTTATCAAAATTTATGGGATGCAGAGAGAAAGCAATGCTTAGAGAAATTTATATAACATTGAGTGCATCTGTTAGAAAAGAAAGATTAAATCAATCACCTAACCTACCTTAGGAAACTAAAAAAAAGAGCAAGCAAATTAAATCCAAAATAAGCAGAAAAATGGGAAATGATAGAAATTATGGCATGAATAAATAAAATTGAAAACTAGAACAGAGACTTAGTCAACAAAATCAAAAGCTGGTTCTTTGGAAACATCAAAAAAATAGACAAGCCTCTACTGAGGGAAAGAGAAATGTGAAACTAATCAATTGTATAGAATTTCACTTTTGCACAAGTAAATAGTTGTAGAGATCTGTTGTATAGCATGAATATAGTTAGCATTACTGAACTGCACGCTTAAAAATTAAGATGGCGAAAAACAAAAAAGAGCTAAGTCTCTAGCCATGTTAAGGAAAAAGAAAATACAAATTACTACCAGAAGTGAAAGTGAGGATATCACTACAGATTCCATGGACATTATGTATAATGTAGTAATACCATGAACAACTCTATACCCACAAATTTGATAACATGGATGAAATGAACCAATTCCTTAAAATACGCATCTGTGAAAACTCACACAAGAAAAAACAGACCATCTGTATAGGCCTATGTGTATTAAGAAATTTAAATCAACAATAAATAACCTTCATAAAAAAGGGAGAAAGCATAAGACAAGATGATTCACTGGTGAATTCTACCAAACACTTAAGGAGGAAACTATACCAATTCTCTGCAAACTCTTCCAGAAGACAGAAGCAGTGGGAATACTCCTAATTCATTCTAGGATTACTCTAATATCAAAATGAGACAAAGATATTAGAAGAAAGAAAACTACTAATCTCTCTTGTGAACATAGATGCTGAAACCATCAACAAAATATTAGCAAACTGAATCCAACAATGTATAAAAAGAATTATACACCATGACCAACTGGGACTTATTCCAGGTAGGCATGGCTGATTCAATATTCAAAAATCAATTATTATCATGCATCAAATCAATCAACAGATTAAAAACAGAAAAGCCTATTGGAATGGGCTAGGTAAAAGTTGATGAACACATATATCAGAATGTAATTATCCATTCACACCAGGTACCAATACCTGTGAAAATGAGACAAAATTCATACTGTCATAGAACCTACCATCTATGGTAGATACAGTCATTAAACAAGTAATCACAAATCCCCATAGCAAGACACAACCTAGACTGAACAGAAAAGGCAGGCTGCGGATGATGAAGCACTATCTACTTCCTAAAAAACAGAAGGGTATGACTGAGGGGACTAATAGTAGCAGAATATACGAAGGTACTGAAGCAAAAAAAAAAGAGAAAGTATAGTATATTAGATGTACTAAAAGGGATCTGGGTTTAAGATCACAGAAAGAAAAGAAGACGATTATAATTTGGTTGTAGTTTTTGCTGGTCATCAGATCAGGAAAAAAAAAAACCAAGAAGGCAAAAGTTAACAGTGTCAGGCCTCCCCTGTGGCGCAGCGGTTGAGCGCTGGGTTGCGAAGCTGCCCGCAGCCTCTGCAGCGCCGGTTCAATCCCCAGCTGCTCCCCGGCCTCTGAAGGAGGATCCCGCACGGCGCGCAGACCTCTCCTGCCGCCCACTGCTCCCCTCAGCAGTGAACTTCGGTCACTCTGCCTGCTCTGCTCCCTGCTCTGGCTCTGGTGAATTCTCTCACCCTCCCGCGCTTCTGACTGTACCCAGTGCTTGTATGTATGTATGTACGTATGTATGTATGTATAAATAAATAACTCTTTTTAATAAATAAATAAATAAATAAATAAATAAATGGTTAACAGTGTCCACAAAAGAAATACTTTAGGTGATGAACCAAATCACAATGTGTCCAGTAAATAGGTACGATTATAGGGCTGATATATGGCAAAAAGATAATGAAAAAATTGGGAGGAGTTACAGAATTTGGAGGAAAAATCCTTGAGTGTTAAAATCTTTTCCTAGTTATACCCAAGACTGACTCTTTCCACTCTTCAAGGAGATGTCCAGAAGTATAAAAGTTATTTTTTTTTAAATTAAGCACTTAAAATTGAATACACAGTAATCCTTGTAGAAATGTCATCCTGAAAAAGATAATTCTCTAAAACATATTTTGTGTAAAAACTTAGTTTTCTTTTTCAAATATAGTAACTGTCAATATTTGGTATATCTATTTAAGAATACCCATTTAAACTAGTCTTTAAAAGCATTCTGGGATTTCTTCTATGATTTCTAGCATTGTTTAACACAAAATTAATTGCATTTCCCACTATAAATTTAGTATCTTATAAAGGAATTACTTACAGGGACATTAAGTGCATACTGCAGTCCTTGAGGAAGTCTTTCATGCGTTTCCATTTGCTCTTCATCATTTTTCACTGTCTCCTCATGGACCATGAGTTCATCATGTGGTATCATATCCTGTTGTCTCATTTCACTTTCTTGTAACACTTCATCTGCAGCAAGGATCTCCTGGTGAGGCATACTCCGATCTTGAAGTACTGACTCCTGCAGTTCCCCAGACACGGTAGACTGGCCAGACACTCCACCCATTACAACCATTGCCCTGGAAGACTGCATTTCGTCTATGCCGCCACATTTAAGAAATAATCCTTCCAGTTTGTCGTCAATGTTCATGCTTAAGTATAACTGCCTAGAAAGACCAAGTTTGGCAACAAAGCATAATAAATTAGTTTTATATGTCTCCTTGACTTTTGTATTTCAAATTATGAAAGATACACATAATAAAAATTTAACTCATATAATTTAGTATTGTCTCATTTTAAAATTACCAACACATTTTATTGATAATTAGGCAAAAAGTTCTAATCTATGTCATTATGAAAAATGAGTCTGCATAAATTGGAGAAAAAGTCTAAAGATCCATACCCTTTAATATGTGTCGTAATGTAAAAAATAAAATGCATGCGTTAAAGAAATAAATGGTCAGGCAAATCATAAAGGAAATTTAGTAGTCACTAAATATAAAAAATAATAGTCACAGCAGTAATCAAAGAAGTAAATATTAAAACAGGTGTCAGATTTCATCCACCAAACTGGTAATAAACTCTTGTAACTACATCCAAGGTTGAAATGGTTAAAAAACAACAGTAAAAATACACTCTCCTAGTGAGTATGTGATTATAAATGAGTTCAACCATTTTCAATGATATTTTGACATAAGAGCTAAAAGTCATAAAAATGCACATATTCTTTGAACCAGTGATTGAACTTTCAGAGACGTGTATTAATGAAATAAAAAACGCATACAAAGCTGTACATGGAAAATCACTAGTATTATTCACAGTAACAAAAACTGGAAATATACTATGTAATCAACAGAAGGCACTAGTTAAAAATATACTTTCACATATTCATTCATTCATACATAATATAGTGATGCACAACTATTGGTAAACTAAAAATTACTAAATTGTACACTTAAAATGGATGAATTTTATTGTATTTAACTTATATCTCAATAGAGTTTTTCTTAAAAATAACATCAGAATAATGGCTACCATTGGGTGATGATGGGGCTGTTATTAAGAGGAAGAAAAAACAGGTGTCTGGGAGCTGGTGATATTTTCTCTTGAATTGAATGCTGGCTGCATAGGTAAAATTTGTAAAATTTTAAAGGTTCACTTTGTAAAATTTCAAGATATACACCTGTGACCTATGTGCATATTCCTATCAGTTATTATACTTCAATAAAGTTAGACTCTTGAAAGATTAAAAAAAAAGTCCATATAGCCATAAAATATTCTTAATAGTTGAAAATCTGGGGAAATATCCCAATATATTAAGGGAAAAGCATGTGTGTATATATATATATATAAAAATAAGTTATAGGTTTGCTTAAAAAGTTAACAATGTTAACATTATCATACTTAGGAGGTCTTCCTGTAGGGGTTAAGTCTGAACCAACTGCCAGAGTTTGATCCCCAGACAGAGAGCTGGGGTGCAGCAGACCTCTCCTATCTCACACACAGTGAGACACATGGTGCAGCAGACCTCCCCTATCTCACCCACTGCTCCCCTCCACAGTGTATTTCAGTAACTCCGCCTGCTGTGCTCCCCACTCTGTCTCTGGTGAATACTCTTACCCCCAGCACCTCTGGCCTACACCCCAGTTCTTATACACAAAACTAAAATTTTTTTAAAATCGTATTTATCTTCATTCTGAAACTTTCTGTAGTAAGATTTTATGTTTTTAAACTTGTTAAAATGAAATACAATATTTCATTACAAATATAGTCTTAAATTGTTGCCCATTATTAATTTAATCGGTGGTAAGACATTAAGAACTGGACACAAGTAATCACAGTATTTTTTTCTCCATTATTATAAATAAGTCAATATTTTTTATCTGCCCTTCCAACTTTGGTTGCTGTATACTCATATTCTATTGTGATACTGTAGCAACTAATGCAATAGTCATGACATCAAAAGAAACTTCACATTAAAGAAGTTCAAAGCACTGTACAGTTTTTTAAAAATCAACTTTTATTATCAGAATGTATGAAATAAATATATATACCCTACTCGCCCAACCTGAAAGGCTCACAATTAGTAAATGCATTCCCTATGCTTCAGTTTAGTGACCTCTTTTCCTGAATCAATCAAGTAATGGTTACTACTTTGATCATAGCTTTCTTTCAGCAGTAAACAGGTGAGTACAAACAGGTGAATACAATTATACTATTGAAATCTAAATATGCTTTCATTTAACAAGGTTATCATCAAGAGAAAAATCTTTATGTAAGTGAACAGCTATTAAAAAAGAAAGAAACAAAGAAAAAGTAAAAACCAGAATTCACATTTGCCAGTCTTGTCTCCCTGGTACCAGAAATACCATCTTGAATACTTACAATACAAAAGGCAGAAATCTGATTTCACTTACATAAATCTTTAAAGTAGCAAACCTGAAACTAAAATGTTTTTAAATACATCACCAAATAACCATTTTCTTCAGTCCATTTAATCACATTTCTTAAATAAACTATTCTACAACTAAGTGAAAAGTGTTGTAGGGCTAAAATTTGCTTATTCTGACCTTTCCTTTGGAAATCCTTATCAAATCATTTGCATTCTTCTAAACTATTTACTATTTTCTCAAACAATTTGGAAAGCCCCTGACTCAAAAGGGAATTATATACACACAAAGTCACCCTTTATTGCAATTCCCTGTAGCTGTTGCAGTTGCTATTGCCATGTTGTTATTTTTTTATAACTTGGGAACTTTTAAGGAATATGGGAAATGTAGATGTTATTAAAAGACCAATCAAGAAAACTGAACTACAAAAGTACTTTGTATTTTTAAAAAAATTACCAAAGTTGAAGATGATTTATTAATCTAACACAAGGTCTACATCTTCTTGAAACAGTGGTCCCCAACTCTGACGTTTTTGATCACACACCTTATCAATTCTTTAAAATTTAGTATATCCAAGCCTCCCTGGTGGCGCAAGGGGTTAAGACGCAACCTATGAAACTGTCCGCAGCCTCTGCAGCACAAGTTCAATCCCCGGCCAGACAGGGAGCAACCCACATGGCACAGCAGACCTCTCCTGACTCACCCACTGCTCCCCTCAGCAGTGTACTTCTGTCAATCTGCCTGTTCTGTTCCCCACTCTGTCTCTGGTGAATCCTCCCTCACCCCCACATCTCTGGCCTGTACCCCAACTCATGCATGCATAAATAAATAAATCTTTAAAAAAGAATTAATATATGATGGGCCTCCCAGGTGGCGCAGCGGTTGAGTGCTGGGTTGCGAAGCTGCCCGCAGCCTCTGCAGCGCCGGTTCGATCCCCGACTGCTCCCCGGCCACCTGAGGAGGGTCCCACATGGCGTGCAGACCTCTCCTGCCGCCCGCTGCTCCCTCAGCAGTGTACTTCGGTCCTTCTGCCTGCTCTGCTCCCTGCTCTGGCTCTGGTGAATTCTCTCACCCTCCCGCGCTTCTGACTGTACCCAGTGCATGTGTAAACAAAACAAACAAACAAACAAATAAATAAAACATGCCTCTATTAAAAAAAAAGAATTAATATATGCTAATACACATATACTATCTAAAAATGTTCCTATAATAGTGTTACTCTATGATGTACATATTCAAACAAAAATACAGTTTTTGCTACACTTATCCCTAACATTAAGTTGAAACAAGTATTGAGGAAATCAAGGGACAGCAAATAGTTTGGGGTAAATGGCAGAATTGCATTCTAAAGTGCCAGAGTATGGAACTTGGAAGAGGAAGAAAGCACACCTCAATAAAGAGGCTGTAAATGGAAAGTAAAGTGGAGATACTGTAAATGGAAGACAAACAACGTTTCTAAATTTTTTTTAAAGTAGGCCATTTGCACAGAAAAAGAAACTTCTCTCTCTTCCTTTTATACATATGGTTTCTTTTTCCTGTGACCCCAAATTAAATCATACTTTTCAAGTTAAATTGGCTAGCCTAGAAACTATAAGACAATTTCCCTGAAATACCAGAAAATACTAAATTATCAACACAGATCTCAGTATCACTGGATACTGCTCTGACTAGACTTTAAAGTGAGCCTTAGAAGATCTATCAAAATAAAAACTGCATGTACTCTTTTTTTTTTTTTTTTTAATTTTCTAGAGGCATGTCTTATTTATCTATTTGTTTGTTTGTTTGTTTGTTTGTTTTGGTTTATACATGCACTGGGTACAGTCAGAAGCCAGGAGGGCGAGAGAATTCACCAGAGCCAGAGCGGGGAGCAGAGCAGGCAGAAGGACCGAAGTACACTGCTGAGGGGAGCAGCGGGCGGCAGGAGAGGTCTGCGCGCCATGTGGGACCCTCCTCCGGTGGCCGGGGAGCAGCCGGGGATCGAACCGGCGCCGCAGAGGCCGCGGGCAGCCTCGCAACCCAGCGCTCAACCGCTGCGCCACCTGGGAGGCCCTGCATGTACTCTTGACCCAGCAACCTCACTGCTAAGATATACACAATCCTATGGACTTATTTATAAAAATTAACCAGATATGAGATATGTACAAGGATATCTGGTGTAACCCTTTAATGGGAAAAGACTATAAACAACCCAAGCAACACTTACAGAAAGCACATAAATTACGACTTAACCATACAATGGAATACATTCAGCCATTAAAGGAAAAAGGTAGCTGTACCTATACATACCAGATGAAAAGATATATTAAGTAAAAAAAAAAAAAATTAAGGAGACAATACATACAAGATCCTTCCCATGAAACTTTTTAAAGGATAAATATCTCTAATCAAGTTATTCCGTAGAGGCCGTCCCCCTCCTCCGCCCCCTCAGAAAGAAATTTAGTAGTGGACTTTGGAAAACCAAAGAACTTCTACTTTTTTACAGTATGCCTTTTTATTACAGGCTTAAGTATTTTCCTTTTTTTTTTTTTAATCTTACAACAGGGGTAGTAGTTATTAAGACTAACTCTAGGTCTTATTTTTTCTTCCTCTTTATGTACTCACTTTAAAAGACTTATTTTCAAATGTGCCTTAAAGACAAAGTAAACCATACACCTCAACTAGTGTCTGGGCAGAATAAACTGGACCAAAAAATGAAACAAGACTCTCAGACAAAAAGTTAATTTCATCAAGTCTGTGATAAAAGGGAAAAGGATGAAGCTATACCAAGAAAAATGATA